CAAATGGTAATGCCATTCCTCAGAGGCGGCCTTGATGGCCAGCAGCTCTTTGTCACAGCTTTAATAGCTCCACTCCATAGGACTTAGGTTTCTGGAGTAGAATGAGCCTGGATGGAGAGTGGTTGGTGACCCCTGCGGTTGTGATAGTGCTGCCCCCATGGCATAATTGGAAACATCTGCGGACAACGAAGAGCTTGGATGGATTCGGATGCCTCAATATAGGTGCAGAGGTGAAGGTCTTTTTCAGTTGCTTGAAAGCCTAGTGGATCTCCGTTGTCCAGATAAAGACATAATTCTTACGGTGGAGTTGGGGTAATTGGGGCCACTACTCAGGAGAATTCCTTGATGAACCCCAGGCAAAATTTGGAAATCCCAGGAAGCACTGGATGTTACGGACGGTCCTTGGCGGGGCCCAGTCCACAGTGGCAGTGACTTTCTATGGATCCATGCTGATCCTGTCTGGTGAGATAATATAACCTAGGAAATAGATGATGGTGTAGTCAAATTTGCATTTTCAAATTTGCATATAGGCCATTTTTCCTGAGGTGTTCCAGCACTTGTCAGACAGGCTGGTCATACAGAGTCTGGTTCTCCAAGAAGATGAGGATGTTGTTTAGGTAGATAAAACAAATTGGTCTAAGATATCCTGGAAGATATCATTCACAAAACACAGGAATGTGGCTGGGGTATTGGAAAGGCGAAAGGGCATAACCAGGTACTCATAGTGACCATACTTGGGGTGGAAGGCTATCTTCCACTCATTGCCCTCCTGTATGTGGACCAAGCTGCATGCACTGCGCAGGTTGAGCTTGGTGAAGACGTTTGCTCCGCTGACCTGTTCTAGGAGCTTGTTGATCAGTGGAAAAGGTTATTTGTTCCTGATGATAATCAACACAGAGGCACAGCGTCCTGTCCTTCTTTTTAACAAACAGGATGGGGACCCCAGAAGTTGATTTGGATGGCTGAATAAAGTTTTTAGCCAAATTTTCATCCAGGTAATCCCGTAGGGCCTTGAGCTCAGGTTCTGATGAAGGATAAATGCATCCAAAGAGGATCTTTGCCCCCTGGCTGCAGGTCTATAGGGCAAACATAGGATCAGTGTGGGAATAAGACATCAGCCTTCATTTTATCAAACACATCTGCAAGATCTTTGTACTTATGCGGGATTGATGAACCAGTCTCTTTGGAGGCCGAGGTAGTACCGAGCAGGGAGGACACCTTCCCAGTGCAGATTCGAGCTTCTCTCTGCTGGGTCTTCCCTCGGCATTGCAGCTGGCAAAATCCAGAATTAAACCATATCTTCCTCATTGCCCATGAAATGTTTGGGTTGTGGAGGGAGAGCCAGGGGAGGCCCAATATGACCTGAAAATGCGATGAAAGTTGAATTTCATAGTTTATTGGTGGTCCCCAGCCCTGATCTGGAGAGGGGCTATCTCATAGGCAACTGGCCAGGAGGTCAGCTTATTGCCATCAGTAGTTTCCGCTTGCTGTGGGACAAGCTTCTTCTGGATGGCCAAGTGGTTCTGAAGGCTCTGAAATAGGGAAGTCATCTCTGGGGCTGCAGTACCCAGGTACTCCATCAAGGCTGGGGCAGGAACCGGGATTGGATCAGGAGCCGGCTGGGAGTCTGATACACTGCAAGGCAGCAGGAGGGTTCCTGGCCGGGCTGTGCTGCTGAGTGAGGCTGCGGGTTTGCAAAGTGGTCCCTAAAAACAGAAATATCAAGGAGGAGTAGAGAGCTTCTATGATTTCTGTATTTGGCACTGGTGCGACTCCTGATAGAATAGTGTGTCCATTTCTGGTGCCCACAATTCAAGAAGGATATTTATAAATTGGAGAGGGGTCAAAGAAGAGCCCTGAGAATGATCAAAGCTTTGATCCTTGACTACACTTTGGTTCATTATAAAATAGATTCAAGAGACCAAATAATATCAGTCAGGTTTATTGCTAAAAGTCAATAATCGTATAGTACAGGAAGAAAGTTTCAAACGCTACCAGTTTCTGAGAAGCCATCTTGTGCAGCATTGTTAAATTCACCTTACACAGAAGGTGTTCTTCTGAAGTTACACTCCTAAAGCTATTATTTTTATACCCATCCTGTTTACAACTAAAAGGGTACTGTGTGTGTATTCTGAAACTAGATATAACCAGCTTTCTACCTTGTTTTTCTGGTACCATGGTTATATCTCTCATCTCTTTCTGAGCACATGCATTGCAGATACCAAGGGGTGTGAAGCCATCTCCTAGGTTTGTGCCAGGTAGATTAACCATATATTTTGTCCTCTTCCTTTGGGACATTCCAATACTGGCCTGTGAGAGTAACTCCCTGCTTTGTTGCTATGGTAAAACACCCATAGGCCCTAGCCTGACAGTTTTCCTATCTACTTAAGCAAAAGCTTACTTCAGCTAAAGCAAGATGTTATGGGATACTTAGCATAAGTGAACAGAATTGTGGCAAAGTATAATACATTAAGTTAATATAATTTCCCGACACTTATATTAATACTATGCACATAATACCTCTTAATGTGGTGTATACTAAGCCTAACATATATGAATTGGTTAACAGGCCCCTGCTTGTTGCTTTAATTATATCAGGGTGACACCCTGCATTTGGATGCCTAAATAATAGAGTCTGAACTGACTCTGATTTCTTTTGTTGTTCTGCAAGATCATGAGAGATCCTTCTTCAGGCTAGAAAACCTGCCACTCACAAGGATTACAATCAGAAATGGAAGAGATTTCTCTTCCTTGGCACCTACTAAGGGGGATTGTTCCAGAGTCGTCCTCTATTTCTCCTGTCCTGGACTATTTACTATACCTCAAGGAAGCCGTCTGCCTCTGCTTCCCTTTAGATCCATTTAGCTGCAATTTCTGCATACCATTTTCCTGTGCAAACCTCTGGTGATGTTTTCCACTCCACAGCCACACAGTTCTTTAAAGGCCTTAACAATGCGTTTCCCCCTGTGAGAGCGCCTGTTCCTCTGTGAGACTTGATCTTGGTGCTAGCAAAACTGAGGGAACCTCCTTTGAATTATGGGAGGAGTGTGATGTGGTTTACCTACCTGTTTTATAAAACCGCCTTCCCCATAGCCACTGTATTGGCTGTGAGGGTCAGGGAATTGCTGGCAGTGTACCCAGTCATCTAGTAATGATAAGGTATCCCTACATTCTTACCTGAAATGCATTCCAAAGGGAGTGACAGATTCCCACATTAAGTAGGTCAACTCCCTCCTGGGTTTCTTCTCAAAACCTCACTGGGAAACCTAGCTGCACACTATGGACATGAAAAGAGCACTCTGTTTCTGCTTAGCGAGAACTGAGCCCTTCTGGAAGTGCAATAGACTGTAGTTGTGGAAACAGGAAGAAGAGTAAAGGTCAGACTCTTTCCTGGCAGAGGTTGGACAAATGGGTCACCTTATCTATTTGTATATGTTGTTATTTAGCCAGAATCCCCTTAGCAACAGGAATCAGCGCCTATTTCACATGGGCTACTGCCACTCCAATGGCATTTTTCAGGCTTATGCCTGTCCATAGGGGAGATTTGTAGAGCAGCAGCCACTTGGCGTTGGGTTACAGCTTCCCTAAGCACCAATCATTAGCCCTGGCCTACTGTTCACATGCTAGATTTGGGTAGGCAGTGCTGCGGTCTCTGCTTAACTGGAGAACCTCTTGGCCCGTGTCCGTTCTACATGGTATGGCTGGCTCATCTCCAACAGGTGGGAATGCACAGGCGCTTTCAAAGGAGAGGCTACTTTGGTAACTATTGTTGTCTGAGAATCCCCTCTATGCACTCACACCCCTTGCTCTCCCTCCTTTTGTCCTCTGAGTTCTTGTCACACTCGGAGACTCTGCAGTTGAGAATCATAGAACCATAGGGTTAGAAGGGACCACAAGCGTCATCTAGTCTAAACCCCTGCCAAGATGCAGGATTTGTTGTGTCTAAGCCATCCAAGACAGATGGCTCTGTCCAGCCTCCTTTTGAAAACCTCCAGTGAAGGAGCTGCCAAGCCTTCCCACAGCAGTTTGTTCTATTGTCCTACTGTTCTTACAGTTAGGAAGTTTTTCCCCAGTTTAGGAGAAGGAACTGAGGCAGTTGGGGCTGCACATCTTCATATAGACTCAGAGGTCTAGTCTAAACCTCACCAGGGAGCGATCATGCAGGCCACATGGACACAGCTTTGGTAGTGGTTCTGTGAGCTTGATGCTGGGGGCGCCAAATCCCACGAATGGCCATGTGCAGAGGTATCTCTTGAAGAACAAGTTACCAGCAAGTGTCGTTTATTTACAGCGAGAGACTCAAGGAGCACAATCTGTTTAGTTTCTCCAAGAGATGGTTAAGAGATGAGTTAATTGTGGTCTGTACGTACCTGCATGAGGAGAAGAGGGCTCTTTAATCTAGCAGGCAAAGGCATAAAAAAAAATCCAGTACCTGGAAGCTGATGGTAGGCAAAGTCAAACAGGAAATAGGGTGCCAGTTTTGGTAACAGTTGGGGTAATTGACGACTGAAAAATTTACCAAGGGGTGTGGTGGCTTCTTCATCCCTTGAAATCTTTAAAACAAGCTCTCAGGGGTCAAATTCCTCCCGATAATCAGCGTGACTCCCATTGTCACCAATTATGCCACTGTGACTACAGAGGAGTGCTGTCTTATCATTGTCCCGGCTCCCTGAACTTCGGTAACCTTTCTCAGCACCTTGGGATCTGTTCACTTGTTCCCCTTCACATGCTTCACCCTCAGGGTTTTGCATTGCAGACACCATCCTGGCAGCAGAGGACTCTAAAAATCTACCAATAGGACTTTTCAGTGTAGCAGAAGGGTCACTCTCGGCTGTGAGCAGAACTGTACAGAGCCACGCCTCCCAAAGGGGAGGGCAAAGCAGGGCTAATAGGACCCTGGGATATCTATAATATTTACTTGTATTATCTATGCACGTCTTTGAAACCTGATGGCTGTGTTAGCTGTCAAAGTGTGTAACCTCTTTTTATTTCATTGCTAGGGCCAAGATGCGTGAGGAAGGAAGGCAAGGCAGAGGACTTGAGGAACATTTTTGCTTTTTGGTGCTGCCTTGGGATGAGGTCTCAAAAATTTACCAGAGTGGAATACATACCAGCGAGTCTGCAATGAAGGAATTGGGAAATCCCCTCCTTGGAGTTTATTTATTCAGACATGTTGATGTTGCTTTGAACTATGCAAACAGATTGATCAGTGCAGAAAACATCCTAGTTTTCAAGGTAAGTGCCATGTACAGAGTTAGGGGGAACATTTTCAAAAGTGCACAAGTGCTCTAGGCGCCTGTAACAGGCAGGGCCGGCTCCAGCTTTTCTGCCGCCCAAAGCGGCCCCCCCCAAAAAAAGCCGATCGGCGGCAGCTCAATCGCGCCGCTTCATTCTTCGGCAGTGGATCCTTCATTCCCTGTCTTCCTCTTCAGCGGCACTTCGGAAGAGGAAGAGAGGGACTGAGGGACCCGCCACCGAAGACCCAGAGGTACCGCCCCGATACCGGACGGAGTGCCGCTTCTTTGTATTGGCCACCCCAAGCACCTGCTTCCTTCGCTGGTGCCTGGAGCCGGCCCTGGTAACAGGGCAGGCTCCTCTCCCACCTTGGGGTCCCTCACACACAGTCTTGGACGCCTCTTGATTGTCAACACCTGAGTGAGTTTTTATTTGTTACCACCGTCACAGTCCCCATGAAGCACTTCTAACTACCGTGTCCTTCCGCTACCGTCACGATCCCCACGAAGCACTGCCACCTTCCGCGTCCTTTTGCCCCTGTCAGAGTCCCCAGGCAACACTTCTACCTGCGATGTCCTTCCGCCACTGTCAGTCCTGTGCAGCTCTTCTGCCTGCAGCATCCTTCCACTACAGACCCCGTGTAGCACTGCCACCTGCAGCATCCTTCTGCTCTCAGCTGCTATCATGATCCCCGTGCAGCACGTCTGCCTGCAGTGTTCCTCTGCCACCTTCATCGCCTCTATGTAACACTTTTACCTGCAGTGTCCTCCTGACACCAACCCAGTCGCTGTGCAGCACTTCCACCTGCAGCGTCCGTTTGCCCCCGTCACAGTTCCCATGCAGCATGTCTGCCTGCAGTGTCCTTCCACCCTCAGGCTGTCCGCAGCTTTCTGCTCAAAGAGGAAGCAGTCTCACCAGCCAGAGACCTGGCTTCCCCTGGGATTTGCTAGTCTTCTCTCCTCCCCTTGGGCTTCCTTCTTAGGCTTTTTAACTACCTTCTCAACTGATTAGATAATTAACTCCTTAGCTCATCAGCCCACAGTCTGATTATAGTCTTCTGCTCCTCAATTAGGGCTTCTCTGGGGGAACTAGTTGGTGTCTAGTGACCAGGGTGCTGGGTCAGCTGCTGGCTCTCAGCACTCAGTCACAGAGCCTAAATCCTCTTTTCAAAAGTTACTGAGAAGCCTCATTGACTTTTAGTGGGAGTTAGGCTCCTAAGTGCCTGAGTTGCTTCTGAAAAGGAGACTTGGGTTCCTAGGTCACATAAGCACTTTTGAAGGTTTTACCCCGGTGAATACTCTTTCAAGCTAATTGCTTTGTGGTGCTCATGAGTCATTTGCCTCTTATTTAAGCAATGTTATTTGGAAACTGGTGCACTGTTAGTGAGATATCCCTTGTATTTTGTACACTCCACAAAGTATGTAAACAGGAGAGGTTATGGAGATTATTTAAAATAAGAACAGGTGTGCAGGTAGTACCATTTCTAAGTATCTAGCTATGCTGACAACAGAAGCCTTAAAAACTGTTTCATTTTTTTAATACTTCTATTTCCTTAGACAGTTATTATTTCTTGGAAGCCGTTCCCTTTTGTTGTGTTCCTAATTTTCCTGCTTTCCTCTGGAAGTGGGTAGTGTTGATTTGCTTTAACCTAAACTATAATAGATTGATTTTGGCACATCCTTGTTGAAATCTTTTGCTTTATTTGAACAGGTTCTCTTTGGAAAGGTAAAAAGAATTCAGCCTCCTATGGGTAAAAAGAAAGTTGCTCTGGATCCTACCCCAAACTTCGATTGCCACATGTCTAGAATTGCTCCTACACTTAAAGATCCAGTTGAGCTGCAGGCCATTGGCTCATCGGTACGTTGACCTTTTCTTTCACTTGATTTGTTTATTACATGATCTAAATAGAATTGTATAGATCATCTTTCCTTGTTCCCACCCTGGAAGCACAATATGAGAATAAAATGGTGGGGCCAGAGTCACTGGTACTCTGTGCCACTCAAAGTAACTGTAAAGTCAGCTTGACTGGATGGTTAAGGTGGGTTTACAGCCTTCTTTGTGTCACTGGAGTAGTGCAACGGAGCTGGAACATACCAATAAATGTGGCCTCCAGATTCTTAGGAATGGTCTGACGCATTAGATTACATAAATAATAAATCCCTGTATAAAAAAGTGTGGTGATCTGTGTCATGGCTCCATAGGATCGGTGTTATGCCCCCAGCTTGGGACAGTCTCTACGAGGAACCCCTTCAGTGTGCCAGCCCCCTTTTGTCGCAATCTGAAATGTCAGGAATTTGGTCCCTTGTTGCAAAGCTGGCAGGCAAGGGGCTGAAGATCTGGCTCCACATCTGTCTGTATGGGTAAGATAGTGCTAGTCGAAATTGAGGGCCTGGGGATTTTCCAGATGAAATAGAAATTGATGATGGAGTCTGGTATTTTCTTTGCAGCAATCTTGTTTATTTACAAGGAATGTTCAAAACCCTGCTTCTCCTAATGGAGGAAGAACCAAGGACAAAAGGAGCAGTTTTTTTAGCTTACAGCCACAAGCCTGTTTAGCCAACAGACAGATGCTCACAGGCTGGTGCCTGACTTTCTTGCTTTTGCCTCTGCATCCCTCTTTTCTGTAATATCTCTCTCACCACACACTCTCTCTCTCTCTCTCTGTCTGTCTGTCTGTCTGTCTCAGCACCCCACCCCACTCCCAGTCCAAACTCCTGGGTGGGTTCACAACCTCCATTTGTCTTAGGTGGGGGCTTCCTGATTTATTCATCCTGACAGTTGTTAGTTGAACGGCTCAGGAGGTGAGTGCCCCCTCGCACCTCTCTGTCACACCGTTCTTGTGTTTTGCTTACAAAATGCTATGCTTTTCCATTGGGTAGTGTGAGCGTCTTTGTGTTTAAGGAGTAAATATACTTTACAAAGTGAATCATGTAGTATGTATTCTGTGAGTTGTTTCATAAAACCTTTGTGATTGGTTTGGCGTTTTTCACTGGTGTTTTTCAGTAGTTTTGGAAAGTTAGGAAAAAAAATGTCAACAGCTTGAATGTTGATGTGGTCTTTGCAAAGCTGAAGAAACCTTGTTTTTTGCCTCTTGATGTCTGTAAGCTCAAGTTCCCAACATGGAAAGCTTGATTGCTGATGGCAGTGACTTCAGCTCAAAGAGTAAGCAGGCTTCAGGCTTTAGATCAGTGGTTTTCAACCTTTTTTCATTTGCCTACCCCTAAAAAATTTCAAATGGAGGTGCGGAACCCTTTGGAAATCTTAGGCATAGTCTGCAGACTCCAGGTTGAAAACCACTCTTCTATGGTAACAACAATCTTTCGCTGGACCCTTTAAATATAGTCTGCGGACCCCCAGGGGTCCGTGGACCCCAGGTTGAAATCTACTGCTTTAAATAGTGACTGCATGACTCTTAGTTCAATACTTACAAAAAACTGTTAAAAACATTATTTGGGTTGCAAAGTCAAGCATTCAAAATTTAGAAAATGCCAGTTTTATGCTTGTCCATCTGTGACACGAAGTGCCTCTGTTTTCACACCCTACACACTATTGTAATAATCTTTGTACAAAATATGCACTGTGATGTATCATTTGAAAACTAACAGTTCACTGATCATTAATATTCTTGTGTGATGTATGTACACGGCAGTTATTAAGAGTTAAGGATAGATGCTAGAATTATGACTGAAGTGTTTAAACCGGGCATGTTGGGGGAGTTGATAAACAGGTCTGTACTAGACAAAGGAATCTGTATTTGATTCTCTGATCAGCCTGATTGTCAGGCAAAGATAATGACGGTCTGTATATTCATGTAAGCAGTAAAGAGGATCATCAAGGCAACCGGAGGAAACTAAGGCATAGCTGGATAGTGCTGGATAGTGCTGTAGTCCAGAAACTGCTGATGCGATGAAGACTCTGGCACAGCTGGGAAAGCTGTGGGCCAGAACTCCACTGAGAGCAGGGCAGACTGCGTGGTAAGAGCTGAGTAAATACCTTCAGGGGTGACAACTCTTCTGTGGCTTGGGTGACCAAGATGATGTGAAGCAACCACTGGCAGAAGTATGGATGTTAAAGGAGGTGGAAAGGTGCCCCTTAATCTGGGTTTAGGATGGTCACTTTGGACATAATTAAACATATTGAGGAGTTGGAGAACAGTGGCTTCTAACTTGCTGCTCTGGGTCAGCCAGTGGTTAACCCTTCTGCAGCTTTGTGAGAGGGGAGGTGTGACACTAAATACCCCTGTACCCCACCCTACACTCTATTGTAATAATCTTTTTGTACAAAATATGCCTTGTGAGGTATCGTCTGAAAATCAATAATTCACTGAGCATTAATATTCTTGTGTGGGGTGTGTACGCGGTGGGTATTAAGCATTATAGAGATATGCTACAATTATGACCGAAGTGTGTTTAAACCAAGTGTGTCGGTGGTGTTGGTAAACAGGTCTGCACTAGACATCTCCGAGTACTTTGAAAGACAATGAGAATGTAAATGCGTATCACATAATCAGACCCATCTCGCTAATAAGAGAGTGGAGAAAAACTTCTTGCCAACAAGTGGAGGAGAAGGCAGCAACATCTACCAGGAGAGAGAAGCTTGGTCTGGGTTTTACTTTTCAAACAATCTATTGCAAAGATTTACCGGGGTATCAAGACAATCGGGCTGAACCTCAAGTGATAAGCAATTGAATCAAGTGATTGTTTACAATATTACTATATTAGAAAAGTGTATAGAGTGAGGGCTTTTCTGAAAGCAAATGACACCCTGGTGATTAATATCATTGTGAAATATATGAGGAAATGCGTATACTTAATGATATTATGTTTTAAAGTCTGTGGCCAAAGAGGAAGAAACAGGTTCCCTCCTAGACAGGAGGGAAGGTAGCTATTTTCCTGTCTCCTATGTAAATTAAGCATGGTAGAATCAAAACAATAGAAGTCTCATTTACATACAGGGGAATTGGAAATCCACAGGAAGAAAAGAACAACATGAGGTCATCCTACCTCTTGAAACAAAGTCACTGAACTTTGGAAGATATAAGCAAAGTTTTAGTTGGGGATTGGTCCTGCTTTGAGCAGGGGGTTGGACTAGATGACCTCCTGAGGTCCCTTCCAACCCTGATATTCTATGAAAGACAGGAGCCATCCTGGGCATCCATCCCTAGACAGAAACAAGGGAACAGAGCTCTTGCAAGCTGAGAAAGATGGGTCCTTCAGCCAAGGGGAGGTTGGCACCATTTTTGATGGCAATTGGCTATTCTGGAATGGGTCTGTCTCAGTTTTTCCTACTGAAGCTGTTTGACTTTCTACAAAATACTTGAATATTCATTGGGCCAGAGAGAGAGAGAATCTCTGCAAACTGAATATAGGAGAGAAACCATCTTGAACAAAGCCTGTACCTTGTTAGATTAAGCTTTAGACTTTTAGTTGTGTGTTTTCACTTTAATTTGCTTGTATCCATTTCTAACTTTATCTCTTAGGCCTGGTCCACACTAACCCCCCACTTCGAACTAAGATACGCAACTTCAGCTACGTTATTCACGTAGCTGAAGTCGAACGATCTTAGTTTGAACTTACCGCGGGTCCAGACGCGGCAGGCAGGCTCCCCCGTTGACTCCGCGTACTCCTCTTGCGGAGCAGGAGTACCGGCGTCGACGGCGAGCACTTCCGGGATCGATTTATCGCGTCTAGACAAGACGCGATAAATCGATCCAAGAAGATCGATTGCTTACCGCCGGACCCGGAGGTAAGTATAGACGTACCCTTATACTTGAACTCACTTCAAATCCCATCTTCTTTTGTAAATAAATTTGTTTTACTATTAATCTAAACCAGTGATTTTCAACCTTTTTTCATTTGTGGACCCCTAAAAATTTTCAAATGGAAGTGTTGACCCCTTTGGAGATCTTAGTTTGCAGACCACCAGGGGTCTGTGGACCACAGGTTGAAAACCACTGATCTAAACCACCAGTGCTGTGTTTGAATTGAAGTGAAGGTTAACTCCAGTTAATAAGGCAAGATGGTGGGTTTTGTCTTTAGAGGAACAAACAAACCTTATTGTATCTCTGAACTGTCCAAGGGAGAGCTGGACATTGCAAAGCACATGGTTTTGGGAAAACTTGGGACTGGGAATGTGTTCAGGTCACCCTGCAGGTAGTAACCAAGGCTGGTGGAAGCCAGAAGGGGGCTGTAGCCACTCTGCAGGGGTCAGAGCTGCTGAACGAGGTCTGTCTAAGCCCACAGACACTCAGGGTGTGACCTGCATGCTTGCAGGCTGGTTGTGAGTCTTCCAGCTTGGGCACTACAGCAGCAAAGCATTGTGAGGCACTCAGGGTTACAGGGTAGGTGGTGACACAACCCCTCACTGGATTGCCCCTGCCCCTCTAACTCGGTGACACACTGCGACCTAAATTCTGTCCCCTTGTGGATCCATCCTGTGCACTGAATGAGGAATAGTATGTGAATGTGTAATTAAAGATGATAATACTTATGCCCAAAGGGGCAGAATGATGGTGGCACAGGCAACCTTAAATCTGCCATTTTCTAACTTTCAGCTGCCTGGCTTTGCAACCCGTTTTCCAATTCTTTTTTTTTTTTTAAAGAAGGAAAAAAGGTAAAAACAAATTATATTGCATGCAACTGTAACAAGAACTTCATGAGCAGAGTTTGAATCATCAGCACAGACTTCTGTGCCTTGATCGACATGACTACAATAGCTGGCAGCAGGAGAATGCTGCTACCCTGGAGGGTGTGATGTCTCCTGGGGCAGGGAAGATGTCGCGAAGAGCCCGGCCTGGCTCTTTTTCCCTTCTCTGCTCCTTGCTCCAGCATCTCACATGGTTCCTTGTGCAGTGGGTG